GAAGATCTACAATAGTTACAAATCTACTTTCACTTCTATTAAGACTAGCATTCATAATCTTTCCTTCCATAAATAATTCAAACAAATTCAAAAGGTTAAATTAGAAGAAAATAATTCACTCTCTTTAAGAAAAAAAATAATATTAAAAAATTAAATAATTTATTTAAATATAGATAATATGTGACTTATGAAATATAAAAATAGAAGTGAGATAATTTATTCACTTTTAAAACAAGATAAGAATAATAAATTAATATTATTATCAAATTATCAAAGATATGAATTTCTAAAAAAGAAATCATCAATATATTTTTTTATTGCTTAAAAAGACAAAAAAATCATTCAAAGATGATAATATATTGAATTAGAATGGCTATTGCTAAAGACAAGAAGACTAAAAAGTCTTAAAACATGACTAAAGATTAAAAAGACATTGAAAAGAGTGAAGAAGGCTTCAATCTTACTTCTATATATACTCTCTAACTAGGAGCTATGTAACAATATTCTATAGGACTTCCAACATGTGTTGACTTTGGTAGATACATGTTTTAATTTGCAAGATAAGTTATCTATATGTAGGCCACACAATTAGCTTTTTCCACAAGCTATTAACATGTGTGATATGTGGCTAATTTGTTGATCAAATTTCTAGCCTACCAATTAACTACAAACAAGTATAAAGTCAAAGCAATGTCTATGAAGCTTCTTTAGAAGATATTATAAAATAAATCTACTTTTATCTACTTCTATCTATTCATATTGATAATTCTTGGAATAAATACATATGTATATGATATTTATTTGAGATGCCTCATTTCTTTCTTAGAGGCCGAAAAAAAAGGTTTTGAATATTTATCAAGGGCCTATTGTTACTTTAATCTTGTATATGATTCTTATCCAACTACCTTCTTTTCTTTCAACTGTTTTGGAAAATTGGTTGTGTTATCCAACTGGTCTTGCCACAAAACATTTCTAAGATTTTTTTTATAATTTTAAGATATTCTCACCTAAATAATATTTCAGCTTGTCTTCTTCATATTTCTTTTTTGCAACTTTATTGACACAAAAGATTTTATAGAATTATACACAACATTATAACTTATTGAAAAAAGAAAGTGCTTAATAAGTGCTTCAAATTTTCTAAATTTTCCTATAAATATCCTTATTGTTAAAGTATTAGAAGCTCATTATATGTTTTGATATTTTCTTCTCTTTTGGCTATATTTTTGTGAGGCATAATATTACCAAATAGTCCAAGTACATGTTGTTGCCCATGATAATATAATCAAAGATTGTCGTACTATTTTTAAGACTATTAAATGAATATATACAATTTAATTGAGCTATTATCTTAGATCCGTTTCTTCATTTGATTTTCCAACTAAATTATAACTTATGTATGATCAAGAACTTGTTTTTCACTTAAAATATTAATTTTAGCATGTTGACTATTTACTTTTCTTATCTACAGATAATTGATCCTTACAAGTTTAAATTATTGTGGCTTTACTATACAAAGTTCTAGTTTCATGCCATTATCCACTTGCAATCCATAACTAATATACTCAACAGTTTGCACTATAATTTCTTTCTTTCACTTATACAGTGAAGAGCATACACATTTAGAATTGATACAATATAATCATCTATTTCCTTGAGTTTAATCCATTGGATCCTATCTAATTGAAAATGACGTGATGATTCAATAAGATGTGCTAAGTATGGAATGATCTATATCCCAGTCCTCCCACTTCTGAAGCTCGCATCATTGCAAGTTATATGCCACATTGGCTTATGAACCAAAAAATGTTACATCTTTCGAAAATAAATTTTTGAGTTGCAATAATTTTACTATTCTTAGCTTATATTCTTGCATGCATGTAATATCTATTCTTGATAGATACTTATGTAAATAATTTAGAACTACCTTGAATTTACTAAAATCATACATCTTTTGTAGATTTTAAGTTAATATAACTATATTTTTGATTCAATGTAGGAGGTAAGAACATCTTAACCTCTATTGGATGTCTATGATGCTTGGAAGGATGGTCATTCATCTTCTCACTATTCCATGAGTCAAAAGAATTTTTAATATCTTAAAGACAATAAATATTATTTATGTCTTGGTATCGATTTGTTCAACAACCAATTCAACTCATTATTTTTTGACGTTTGAGTAGCGAGCTCTTGGTCTCATAACCATTCATTGAATAAATGAGCCAAATAATCTAATAAATCATGATTTGTTTTTCTAAATTCTTTTATATACAATTCAAACAACTAAATTGTGTCATTAGATCTAACTTCAATGTTTTTCTATTGATACATTCTTTACATATGTGCATTGTTGAGCCCTATAATATAATGTAGTTCTATGGAAATAGACCGCAAATTATGCCCTTTGTTCAAATCAAATTTTGAATATTTGGCTTTGAATCCAAAAGGAGTTATTGCTACTCCACATGGTTGTATTTTTGTTGAAATTGCAAAGTTCTTCTATCTCCTAATTTCTACTCACCTTTGCTCTTTTTCTATCCATTCTATCTAAATTAAGGTCATTTGTGCATCTAATAGATTGGCTTTGTTTGTTGCTACCTTTAAGGATGCATTTTGATTATTACATCCTTTTTAGTTATCAATTACGCCATTGTTATTACTTCATATTTCTTTTCTTCCACTAGATTTAGTGATTTCTAACACCTCATTTGTTGTTCTTATCTTTATCCAATACAAGACCAAGACCTTAGGTGATGTTGCAGATATTGCTTATGACTTCATCTAGAACCATCTTCAACATCTCCCATATTGGCATCTTCATGCTAATGGCCAACTAAAATTGAACCCTCTCATTTATGGCTAGAAGATGCAAGATTTCTATTATAAAATATGTGGGATTTGCAAGAGCAGTTTCTGTATTATTATTTCACTCATACTTACCATCTGAATAAAACCATACCATAGATTCTTTCCAATGTCAATTCTATCTCGTACTTTAGTTTTCAACAATCCTAACTAGTCCTATAATACCCTTGTTGGAGGTTGTCCTTCTACAAAATATGCAATAATAACACACTTCTCCAAATATTCTATTTTAGTTTTTACTTTTTGTTCATTTAACCTAATCTTAATTACTTGGGTGCTTAACAAGAATCCGATGTTGCTTCTAATTAATCCATCAAGCAAAATTTCGCTTAGTGTAGCTTATGTAGGGTTGAAGGCTGCAAATTTTCTAAGGTTGGCAAATGTTGCAACCAGCCTTGGTTCCATTTTGTTGTGATGTTGGGCTCGTTCCACCCACCTTCCCTCCGCTGAAGTTGTAGGTACCACTAAGGCATGGGCCAATCGTGCCTTGAGAGCCTTTGCGTACGATATCTTCCTTATTCATGTAAGTTGTACAATAGAGTTACTCCCCTCATAAGCTGTACATCAAAATTACCTTCCTTGTGGGGTCCATGCTAATCACATTGTAAAAATCCTAAATTTATGCCAAGTTTCACCTCAAGGTTCCTTTCTGTCATGTCAAGCATGTAGAACAGTAAGGTTTGGAGCTGGCAAACCTCCTGCTCACACCCATTCAATTGAGCGCACAGTTACTAAGGATACAACGTATTTATTACAACTACTCTTAGGATTTCTTTGCGTTGTGCGGCCAGTCCCTTTGGAGCGTCATGGTCCCTTTGTATCTTTTCGAAGCCAAGTTTTAAAGTAAATTCCTGTTTTAGCAATAAGAACAAATTTCTGGGTTCAGACAGGGCACCAGTGTGCTCTTCCGGCAAATTCTGAAGTGTGGTCTTTTCCATTGGGAATCCCTGTTCAAACCTGCAAAAAGAGGAGATTTCCATGCCCTAAAAGAGGGAAACAGCCCCACCTCCTCCTCATCCTCCTGCTCTGAGCCTTCCTGGTTCCACTGGAAGTAGCTTTGCTACCAACCGTTGCAAAGCTTGTAGGAGCTTCTGACCATCCCTGCCATGCTGCTACTGCTGCCTGCTCCTTCTGCATAGTCTTCCTCTTGTCTGCGGTGGTGATTTCACTCACAAGCTCCACCAACTTGCCTGTACTTCCAGGGCTTAGTCCCACTCCAAGCTCTAAGTTGGGATCATGGCCATGGTTGAAAACCACAAGCCGCCTTCTCTGACACATTCTTAGTATTTACTCCAGCTGCCGTCAAAGAATCCAGAATCTTCAAAAAGTATGATGAGAGGAAAGCTTTGTTTAAACATTTAGAACTGGAGGAGCAGTGGGGTTGGTGGCAACAGAATAATTCCCTCTTTTGAATACATCTCATTCAAGCTCTTGGATGTTTGTTGCAAACGTAGGGTTTGGAATGAGAAGGAAAGTGAAAAGGGCAGATATGAAACAAACGGGGATGTACAGAGTGAATCCCGAATGATGGACGTTTTTTTAGGGAAGAGCAAAACAGATCTTGGAGGAGTGTTTTCATCCAAGTTGGGTCGATCAGAAAATGATAGCTTACACAATTTAGCAAAGTCTAAGAACCTTTTAACAAAGGAATAGTGGGGTGAGGAAGAGGAAGATTCTGAGCACTAAAACCAACCGCACCGAATCCCATCCACACTGCAGATTCGAAACTAAGCTCCCCCCCACCTCACTCCCCACTCCAATTTTGAAAGGGAGTACTAATTCCACCGGATCAGGCTTCACCGTTGGATGGTAGAAGAGTGGGTGAAGAAAGCAGAGGCGAGCATCACGGTGCCAGGACAGATTTTCTGCAAACCGGCAGAAGGAGCACGACGGGTGGTGATTCTGGACCGGGCCCTGCCCGGTTGAGAGCAGCCCTCGGTGTGGTGTAGTAAAGTGCCCCCCCCATTCAAGTGCAGCACCGAGACGGACTGGCAATGGGACGCGCCCTCGTAGAGGGCTCCCCGTCACAGCGCAGCGCAGGGCAACGGGTGACATCACCACAATCTGTCTGGGAAATCGGGTGCGGGGTTCGCATGAATGATCCCCTTTGCTTTTGATCTGTTTCGCTTGCCGTGGTCGCAATTTAGGTGTAAGCCATGATAGCCTCTCCGCAATCGCAACAGACCAGGAGGCCCACCATAGCCAGAGCATGGCCTGAGCCTGCTTCGTTTTCCTGTCCGTTGTCTCCTTTGCCTTTTCTGAAAAGAAAAAGAAAATAGGCAAGCTAAGCCACACCAGAAAGTTGAGCCAGCAGCAGCAGCAGCCTCACTATTCCATTGCTCTCCTTCCATTGAAGGTCATCCACCCACCACCTCTCCGTTCCGGGCGCCAGGTTTACTTTTTTCTCATTCTGTGTTGCAGGAGGTGCTGTGAGGTGGTGTATCCTGCTCTCCTCCACCGCGTTTCCGCGCATTTTGGGGACTGTGGGAGGGATTTTGATGTGGGAGCGGGAGATGAGAGTCTTGTCGTGGAGTTCTCAGCTCTGCACTGCATTTGGAGTGTAGTGGGGTGGTGACCGTTTTCTGAGCCTTTTTGTGAGCTTTGGGCTGGGTGTTGTAGAGGTGGAAGAGGTGAAGTGGGGTGGGGAGACAGAGGGGTGGTGTTTTAGCTCGTGGTGGTGTATGCTGAGGTGGTCTGCTGATGCAGGAGGTGGGAGGTGGGAGTACGGGAGCTGGAATTCTTGGGCGTGTTGCTGAATTTGGCGGGTGGTGTCTTTTGGAGACTGAGAAGAAATGAAGGCGTGCTGTGTTCTGAGGCCTGGGATGCCATGGGAGCGTTGAGAAGGTGGAATTCGGCGAGCGTTTTTCCAGGAATGGGGATAGCAGGTACAGAACTGTGGTAGGGATACACTTCATTTTCCGTGGATGAAACCATGGGATGTGTTAATGGCAAGAGGTCCGGGGCACAGCGGCGAGAGGCCAAGCATCAGCAGCAGCTTCAACATCAGCACCGCCAGCAGCCAGCGATCTTGCCCTCTCTGAACGATGCAGCGGATGTCCTCACCTCCGACAGTGACGAAGATGTTTTTGGAGATGGCATGGGCATTCAAATGTGCTTGCCTGGGCGGGACAGTAAACCGAACTCACGTTCTGGAACTCCGAAGCTCCTCTCGGAGGCCAACACCCCGAAGCTGAAATCTGAAGCTGGTACTCCAAAACAGGGTAGCAAATATGGGCTTGGGCTGCCGAAACCAAAGTCGAAGTCGGGGACGCCCAAGACTAGGTCAGAGACTGGAACTCCAAAGACGAAATCGGATGCCTACACCTCGCCCATTGCCAAACCCGAAGGAGGAGGTTCGAAGTCTGGTTCTCCTTATGAGCATGGTTCCACTCGAAGAAATAGTCACAGCTCCTCTCATTTCTTGGAGTCTCTCGACCTTGACCTCGGAATTTCTCGCCTCTCTCGAATCTCGGATCAGTATCTCCCTGCTAGCGGCTCCCGTGTTGTCAGAGTTCCTGACGGTAACTATGAGCTGCGATTCTCCTATTTGACGCAGCGGGGTTACTATCCCGAAGCGCTTGACAAAGTGAATCAGGACAGTTTCTGTGCTCATACGGTATTTGGCGATAATCCTGACGACCATTTCTTTGGAGTGTTTGATGGTCATGGCGAGTTTGGAACACAGTGCTCCCAGTTTGTGAAAAAAAATCTATGTGAAAACTTGCTGCGGAACCAGCACTACCTTACAGATCCTGTTCAAGCATACCACGAAGCATTTTTAACAACCAATACACAGCTGCATCGCAACAGTATTGATGATTCAATGAGTGGCACGACAGCCATAACCGCGCTTGTGAGAGGCCGGACTCTCTATGTGGCCAATGTGGGCGATTCGCGAGCAGTAATTGCAGAGAGAAGAGGTAACAATTTTGTGGCTGTTGATCTCTCCACTGACCAGACGCCTTTTCGCGAAGATGAATGCACCCGTGTGAAGGCTTGTGGCGCGCGGATTCTGACCCTCGACCAGCTTGAAGGCTTGAAAAATCCTGATGTTAGGTGTTGGGGCGGAGAGGGTGACGATGACGGTGATCCTCCACGGTTATGGGTGCAAAATGGTATGTATCCTGGAACAGCTTTCACACGAAGTATAGGAGACTCTGCAGCTGAGGAGATTGGCGTTATCGCAATGCCTGAGGTCCTTGTCATGGACCTCACGTCGCAGCACCCTTTCTTTGTTATAGCCAGTGATGGTGTATTCGAATTTTTAAACAGCCAAACTGTTGTTGACATGGTGAGTACATCCCTTCTTATCATACTCAATTTCAATAAATCCCTCTTTCCTTTGCAGAACACGAAAGATGTGTTAATGCGAAACGGGTTGTGTGTTGTGAATGATCGTTGGATGTAGATTATGTGGAATCTTCATTTGCCATCGTAGTTTTGGAGGTTGGGTGTTCGCCGTTTAGGGTACGGTTGGTCGGGGTTTACAGGCATTCTTAAGCACGTATTCTTTTGGTTCTTGCCTTGTTCAGGCTGCCTGTAAATGATTGCCTTTTCACTGACACATTTGTTCCTAAATCTTCTACTAATGATTTGTCCACCACCATTTGTTTTAGTTTATATGTGTTGCATGAATTATTAATATTGGATAAATACTTCATATGTATTTACGTCTTTTAATTGCTGTTAATGGCTTAATTCATGTTTAGTACGCGAATTCGAGAGGTAGCGAACACTACCTGAGATAATGATCAAAGTACGCTTGCGAAGTACCTGATTGATTCGTTACCGATTTTTTACTTGATTGTTGGAACAGGTTGCCAAGTACAACGATCCAAAGGAAGCTTGTGCAGCTATCGTGGCAGAATCATATCGGCTGTGGCTGCAATACGAAACTCGTACTGACGACATTACAATAATTGTTGTGCACATTCAAAACCTCAATGACGTATGTTTCCTTTTTGAACTTTCATCATCAGCCAACTATGTGTTGAGGGAGTACTTTAATTTATATTCTAAACAGTCGAATCTTTTCTTTCCTTCTCTTGGCCAACTAGCTGCTTTCACTTGTGCGGTAGTGATATTGTTAACTTGTAAGTCTTAAACCTTAGTTGTATGGATTACACTGTGGTGGAATTATCTATTGAAGCTGTTTACTTCTGACTAGAGCAGCAGCGATGTCCCTAGTCTTGCAGTTGTGTTTATTTCTCATATTATCCATTGGATCCTCTGGAATCAGGACCACGTTACAGTGGAGTCATATTACAGAGATTCACCAGTGCTACCTCTCAAGTCCCCTGGAGTAAAATCCCCAGGTCGAGCCTCTAGAGATGTATTCAAAGGCAGTCGGCCTGCCCGCAGCGATTTCTCAAGGGCACGAGCCCGTGCTATTGAAGCTTCTTTGGATCCAGACGAACCTTGGGTGCCCACAACGGAGCCCCATGTAAAAACTCCAGAAGAAGAGGTTGGTTCCAGCAATACATTCAGTCCTTTATGTTAACTTTTGCAAGTTCAAGGTGGGAGTTAAGTTTTGTGCTTTAGGAGTTGTCTTGATGTGGTGGGTGTCACAAGAGCTTTGGCAAATGGCCTATTATTTATTTATTTATTTATTTATTTAAAATATAGGATCTAGTCTTCTGTTCGTTTACATTTAAAAGTAACAAATTTGGATCGTCTGGGTCCGTTTGGTAGTTGCAAGTCTAGCATGTGAGATTCTTTCCCCATCTTGTGAAAAGTTTCGTTTCGAGATTGTGACCACGTTGTTTGGAATGATGTTTATTAGTACTCGGTACCCAAAATCAGGTTCTCATAAAATTTCTTTTTGTTCACAGGCACAAATTAAGAGAGCTCTGCAAGGTAACTTCTTGTTCGAAGGGTTGACAGAGAGGCAACGGCACACGCTAATTGATTGCATGGATTTATTGGAAGTAAATGCCGGTGATGTCATAATACGGCAGGTAAAGATCTTTTATTATAGTTGTCACGAGCGTTTAAAGCGTGTGCTCTGCAGAATTTTCAGAACTTTCGAATTTAAGTTTTAAATAAATATCTTGTTGGGGGGCAGGAAGCTTTCTTGATTACTTGTACTTCCATTAGTCTCACTGCACGGCCGTGCATGTCTTACAGGGTTTTGAGAGCGATCTATTCTACATAGTAGAATCTGGTGAATTTGAGGCTTCATTTTCACAGGTTTTCAACCAGAAATTCTATGCCAGTGTGTTGCTTTTTTCAGTATTTTGACTGTCGTTTCGTCAGACGGATGAAGTACTGATAGTTTCAGAAATCATAGTTTTCAACGCATTGCATCAAGGATCGTACCCAGGCATTAGGTTACTGATGTGAACTAAAAAGATCACTTCTTGCTGTTTTCTTTCAGTATTGACGTTATGTTTTGATGCATACATTGTGGATCTTAAGGTGTCAGATGTTGTGTTTTTTCAGTCTGGAACTGGCACTGCTGGTGCTGTTCAGGATGCTGGGAAGGTGGTCCATTTGTATACTGCGGATTCAAACCCCTGCTTTGGAGAGCTTGCACTCATGTAACTTCCATATCTTTAGCCCTTTGCACAAAAATGTTTTCCTACCGTCTTTCATGACTATCTTGGTGAGGGTACAGCTAATGTACAGAGTTCCTGACCTAGGATCTCTGGTTCTTCTTCTTGGTAGTGTATATTCCCTTCGGAAGTGGCAGACTTTGAAACCATCTGCAGCTCAGCATGATTATGATCAACCTATTGTTGAATGGCCTCCTTGGATCATGAACCGTGGTTGACATCTTGAAATTTTCCACAAGCTTGACCAACATGGACGTTTTCACATGAGCTGGCGAGGTGGACATCAGGCTGTCGTTGTTGGAAAGTTGCAGGATGAGTTGTATATCAGCAAGGATGGGTAGTTTCGCACATTAGACTTGTAAATATATTAGCTAATGGCAGTGACTGATCGCATGAAGGAATGTTGTTCTCCAGGTATAATAAACCAGGGCTTGCAACAGTGCGGGCGGCATCGAACGGTAGTCTGTGGGTACTAGAGCGGGAAGCCTTTCGAGGAGTTCTTTTGATGAAATACATGCAGCGGCCGTCGGTGAAGATCTTACGATCGGTGGAAATATTTTCTAAGCTATCCTTGTCACATCTGCATAGCCTAGCAGAAGCTCTGACCGAAGCTACATTTGAGGAAGGTCAAGTTATAGTGAAAAAAGTGAGTACACCTAGGTTTTGGTCTTTTTTAGTCTTAGCCGTAATTTCTGGCGTAAATTCTCTAGAATTTTTTTTATTGTTTTTTATTTTTTTTGTGTATGAATGTTACTTAATTGTTTTTCTGTAGTGAAACGGGAGTGGTAACTTCTGGGGGTAGCTCAGAAACAATGAAACCAAAGGACCTTTCTATTTTCCTCTTAATTAGGATCCAATTCTAATTCCCTGCTTTTGTGGTTGTTGGCGCTACTATTGTAGGATCAGAAACTTGACGCATTCTATATTGTCAACAAAGGCGATGTGGACATAACCTACCATGATAGTGAGAATGATGATGGTGAGCAGTTTCAGTTACCCAGGGCAAGCTTGGAGTGGACAGGAGAAAGATGCGCCTTCATTGAACGTAGTGATGATATTCGGCAGGATTTACCCCAAGCAAAGTCTTTTGGTGAATGGTTGCTTACTAATGTGCCTGCGAAATCCATCACTGTGGTAGCTACCACTGACGTGGAGTGCTGGTATATTTCACGGCGAGCATTTGAAGCTGCTGTTGGTCCTCTAAGTTTAATTCTCAAGGAAGACGCAAAGTAAGAGTTTCGTCCCTACCATTTCGACAATCAGATTACAAAAATGTTCCAGCATAATTGCGGTTATCTGGCCTGGCATGTTATCCTCGTACTTTTTGCATGATGGCCTTCAAATAAAGTAGATTATATGGTCTTGGCAGGTACATGGAGAAAATGTCACATTTGCGTAGACTCCAACTTGCGGAGGTGGATGTACACGCTTTTCAGAGAATTACACTTAAGGATTTGGTATGTTCCTCGATTCTAATGGAAAATAATTTTATTTAGGATGTTTCGTTTGAGGTAATACCAGTCTTTGGCTTGAGGTATGAAAGTGACTATGCGACATCTGTAAGCGTTGACACAGGGGTTCGCCCATTGATTGAACACTATGTACTTTATTAATGGGACTCCTGATACTTCCTCGCCTTACTGTGACCTGATTCTGCATTTCTAATTCTGAAACAGGACGAGATAACAGCTGCTAACAAACTTTTTGCTTTGCTCAGGACTGGCAAGAAACTGTCTATTCAACCGATTGCTGTGATGTCGGTGTGGTGCTCTGCAAGAAATCAGGTGAGAAGAATACGGTATATTTTTAAATGCGGAATGCCATATGCATCGATGCAGGTGCATTAGGATAATTATATGTGGCAAATTGTCTCACAATATCGCTATTGGCTCTGAACAGGAGTGAGAAATTATTGAATTTTCTGCATATCGGTCACTCAGTTATACTGAGTTTACATGTATCTATGAATGGAAATACTACTATGTTCTAATTCTTGGTTAAAATGTCAGAGGTCAAACATACAGGGAATTCGAATCTCTACTTTGCGTAGGACAGTAACTGGGAGAGTCAACTAAGTAAATCTGTATTCAAAGGGAATCGAGTGTACTATAGGTGATCATGCTACTGTTTTTTCTTAAACAATTTTTTATTAATCATTGGAAGTTGATAAATGCAGATGACGTCATAAGCATGAAAAGGTACCAGAGACGTAAAGTTCAGAGACTCGGTCGGGAGGGCCAAGTCCTATTGGAGAGAACTCTTTTCAAGCAACTGAGGCCTTCCCCATTCGTGCCGCATCTCTTGGCCACCCCTATTGACAGTGACAATGTGGCACTCGTTCTTAATTGTGTGTTAGCTGGGCCTCTAGAACTTCTACTTCGGTCACCTTTAGACGAGAACTCAGCTCGTTTTCTGGTCGCCAACGTGGTATTAGCCGTCGAACTTCTGCACAAGGTGCATGACTTTCCCTTGTAATCCAGATGATTTTGGTGAAGCCTGAGCTTGCATTTTGAACATTTAATATTAGTACAATCCTTGTCCAAGATGCCAGAAGTCGTTAGGATGTAAAATTGCACTATCTCGTACTTAAAGTTGCCGCATTGCCTCTTCTCCAGCTCTGACTTTGTGCAGTGGATTCCTTATAAATTTCATTGAGAGCAGTTCGTTTTAGACAGCATGCAATGACTTAAATTTTGCAAATGCAGGATGGCGTTGTATATCGTGGCATCTCTCCCGATGTTCTTATGATAGATCGGAAAGGACGACTTCAGGTAGGCTTATCTAGATGTGTCATTTCTGTTGCGGCTTTGATTTGGTTTGTTGCCACATTTTCTTAGGCAGTCAATTGCCTTTCTGCACTCTGGAAAACGTTCGAAGGGTTTTCAAGCTCAATTTATTCGACTGATTAGGTCTTTGATTGCAGCTGGTTGATTTTCGGTTTGCAAAGCAAATGTCGGATGAGCGCACTTTCACAGTCTGTGGCATGGCTGATTTCTTAGCACCCGAGATCATTCAAGGACAAGGTCATGGCCTGGCTTCTGACTGGTACTCCACCTAGCTCTCGATACCTCTTGTTCTCTCAGAACTTAAATATCACGATAAGCTGCCCTACTTTGTTGGTCATATTTTTGTAGATAAGCTCACAAACTCATTCGAAGTTTTTCTTGCCGGAGAATTATTATTTGATGCGCACGCAAACTTATAGGTGATTTCGTCGAAATATACATTCTATGTACTAAGAATCTGCACGAATATCTGCAGGTGGGCGGTAGGTGTGTTAATGTACTTCATGTTGCAAACTGAGCTTCCATTTGGATCATGGCGGGACAACGAGCTTGAAATTTTTGGTAGAATAGCCCGTCGGCAGCTTACGTTTCCTTCAAGTTTCAGCCCTGAAGCGGTTGACCTCATTGACAAGGTAAATTTTTCACTTTCAAAATGTGATCATATATCTTACGAAGCTATCTGTGTCTCCTACGGCATGAAAAGGCCGTACAATTATTCGTTACTCAATTCTTTCCATGCCAGTGATTCTGTAGTCTAGTTTTACGATAAAATTTACCAGTAAAGCTAATCACCACTGCTTGATGCGGTTGCTTAAAAAACAGCTGCTGGTGGTGGACCCAACCAAGAGACTGGGCTGTGACAGCCATGGATCGCTTGCCATAAGGGAACATCCTTGGTTCCGAGGTATAAACTGGGACAAGCACCTCGATTGCAGTGTGGAAGTTCCTTCAGAGATCATGACACGCCTTCAGTTGGCCATAGACTTTCTTCCCGTGGATGATAGTTATCAAGTGTTTGATCTCCAACCCGATGAAGACGATCCACCATGGCTTGATGGCTGGTGATAGCTTGATGGCTCGTAGATCCCCCTTCTCCAAGCATCAATGGCACAGTACCGAATGGCTATAACAGAAGATGCACATTAAGTGCTCCATGAACAGATACCGTAGCGCTTAGGATTTTTCGGTCGTCACAAATGACGGCTCTCTTGTGAGGTTCGAATGTTGTGTCACCCGATGATCTCTACTGGCACAAACCTCCAGGCTGAATCTTAAGGCCAGCTGTTTTAGGTGAGACGTTTACCTTGGTTCGAACTCACGCTCGTGTTGTTAAGCGCGAGTCGATGATGTATGAAATGACGGTGTTCCTTGAAAGTCTTGAAAGGCAATCAATTCGCTTATGTGTGTCCCTTCCATGTGGTCATTAGGGAAGGGAACCGCTGCACTAGTCAGTAAACGAACATGGCTTCAATTGTATAGCATAGCGGTAGAGGTTTCGTACGAAATGTGGTTGCAGTCGGTGATTATAGGCGCATTTCTCTGAACATGCACGAGAATCGTGCTCCTGAGTCTCCATCATTCAGTGGTGCTTTCTGCGCCAACAATCGAATCTTTGCATTTACCCCAACAGGAATATCAATCACCTGACAGTTTTTCTCTTTCATTTTATGGCACTTAAACGCAACTGTTTTACACACTGTTGTGGATGTGACTTTCCTCATGCTTTATCGTTTACCACATTTTTTCGAAAAGTTCACTGTCGAACAATTGTTAAGTTTGAGGTGGATTGAAAACGATACCTCTTTATTTGATACAATCTTGAAATTGAAGTCAAGTTTCGGGATGCTTTTGTATCAGTGATTAATTTAGATGATTAATAGGAATTTGAATTAGCCAATCAAAAGTCTTCTGTATATGTAAAGGCATAACGGGTATGCATATAGCAACTTGGAGTGTCCTTGTAGCTTGAGCCTAATATTATAATCTGTATATTATGAACGTACTTATATTAAATTTCTACAAAACATGAAAAGATTTTATGTAAATTGTGTCCAGGCTAATTTTATATAATTTTTTATTTTGAAATATTAATAATAAAAATCCTTTAAACCACGTCAAGAAATAATATATGGCTTATGATATATTTTGGTTTTTTTTTGTATTGTATTCCAAATTTTAGTCTGACATATCTATTATTGTTTGAAGTGTTTTTTGATGTTTTACGAAAATTTGAGGTGATTTCCAATACAGAGATTAGCTAAGTTGTTGCTATGACCTAAGATAGAAGAACTATCATTGTGTTACTTTACCTATTAGTTTTAGTATATATTCTTTTTTAATATAATTTTTACCTTGAGGAATTAGATTGTTTTGTATATTGTATGAATATCATTTTTTTACAAGTTGGTTGGAATAATGTTTTTCTTTTCTTTGCTTTTTTTCTTTTTTACTTCTTCTTCTAAGTTAAAGGAAGGATTATTGCCCTTATGATAGTTTAAAGTTTGTAATGAAGATATACCTTCATATTATTTTCTAATTTATTGAAATTATGTTATATTTTAAAGTCTTGTTAACATAATTTCTTTCTATCTTTAGTTTTATATCAACTGTTAGGTTTTGTATCCACAAGCTTAATCATATATTATAGAATATATACAAATGAAGCTTTTTAATTTCAAACTAAGACAAAATACGTCTTGATTTATTTATTTACTTGTTTTATTTATATTGTTTGTTTCTAAAATGTTCAAAGTTGGCTATACTTTAGGTTGAGGTCATTGTTAGCTTCAATCATGTAGAAATTTTATTTTTTATTTGTAGGATATCTTAGATTTTAGACATATATATAATATATACATTTTTTTTTTTTAGAATCTAAAGGAATTCCTTTAGATAATTTTTTTTATTTTAGTATAATTAGACTTATAATGCTTTGCTTTCTTTCTATTTTTTATTAAATATTTTGGTTTAAAAAGTTTCATTCTTAATTAATTTACAATTTATAATTTAAGATTCAAATTTATCCAAAATAGTGTAAAAATAATTAGTAAATATTATACCATGTCACTTTATTACTTTGTATTTGAATATAATGATATATGTGAGAAAATTCTTGTTTAATGTACATTATAGATTATCTACAAATATTAATATTATATGTTTTTTTTTGCTAATTTTATATGTATATATTTATATATATATATATATATATATATATATATGAAATTTTTTGATTTCTAAGGCAAAAGTATCTCCATCATGGTTTTCTTACACTTCTTGGTAATATTTGAAAGACAAGTAATGTCAAGTATTATCTTCATTGACTTTTTTCATATTTTATTACTAACTTGTTAAGTTCTTATTTAAGCAGTTATAACCATCAAGTTGGAATCTTGTGCATGATGGTAATATAAAATGTTTTATATTAAACAAATTATTTTAGCTTTTATTTCCAAGCTTAGTAGTTTTTAACTTTTATATATCAAAAATTTCTTTTTCTTTTTCACCTAATTTAATAAAATATGATATTAATTATTTTAAATCCAACTTTTCCAAACACAACACAAACTTTCTTTAAGCCATAATAAATACTTCAAAATAAATAAAAGAAGTTTAGAGAATTATGTTCAAAATATTAAGTATTGTATTTTTGTGCATTGCATATAGTAAAGCCAATTTTCATGTAAAAAAAGTGCTCCAATTGATACTCAATTTGTATGTCAATGTTTATTAATAAGATACATTGTATTCATTAGCATACATCCTTATTTTAAAATCATCAACTGTAAAGAAATTACACAACATATGCTGTGTAGGTTCTTCATAATAAGTCTACAGTATATAAAGTTATTTTTTGAAGAAAATATAATTTCTTCACAGTAGTGTTTTTTAAGTATTGTTTCTTTTTGAGGATTGTTGGTTTTTAGGAAAATAATTTTATCCACATTGAATCTAAGTTTGAAGTTGACTTCACAATAATCCATAATAACAGATGGCTTCATCTTAACTGTTTAATCTATTTACAGCATCACCCCCTGAATGCTCCAACCGGAGTCTCTGCTATAACACAAACTTGCATTCCAAGTTCCAATCAAATTAAACTTAGATGCAGGAACCATGGGACACTTCACATCATGAACACAACACACCACAATTAGGCGGACAGATTACTTGAAACTAATCAGCTGGTATCCTGATGAAACCTAAATTCCAAATCACGGTAGTATTTACTTCATTTATTCAAATTCGTCGTCATGGACATGAGGAATTAGAGGAAGCTTGACGAAAACAAAGGAGGAGCCGACATCGTCAGAATCTTTCAGGAACATGTCAAGTGGACCTAAAATCCCAAACACGAGATTTCATTTTGGCTCCTTGGACTAGAGAGCTACGCTTCCAGAGCAACAGAATGGTCGATCCTTAAAAATATTTGAGGGTCCAAACCTCTAGTGTTGGAGGCAGACTTTGATTAGCTAACCTACGAATAACTATCTCGATGTCAAATGGCAAACTGCTACAAACTTCTTGTCAGCTCTAGGAACAAAAACTTCAACAAGAAGTATAAAGGCACCTAACTGAGCGGACTCGCTGAAACCATTAACTGTACAGAAAATGAACTGGAAAGCTCTTTCCTACCTGATCTGTGGTGCACCTTAGTGCAAAAGAGCTTACCGGCTTGTTACAACTGATAAGCTTGTGTACACATCACGTTCTTCACCTTGTGATATAATGTAATTCGTATAAACGCACCAAGGTTTTGAACAATTGTAATATGATCAGTATAGATAGCATGTCCCTAAAAACATTGAAAAGTAGCTACCCTAGAACGGAAGATGGCGACTCAGAAGTCCGTCGAAGGCAGCATATAAATCCTTATTGTCTGGACCAAAAGTTTCCTCGGCTTTCCGAAGCGTCTCCTGCATAGATACGTACAAGGACACAATGATCAACAGATTCCAACAAAACACAAGATACTCCGGAAATGACATTAAGTATCAGAACAGACATTTTAGTCCTAAAGTATTGACTACCTATGACTAGAGATAAATTGATTTACATATAATGATCACGCATCTAGTAACCTATCAGACTTTACAAGGGGAAAGGCATACCTCTCGAGTCTGTCGGTGCGCATTGAGTTCCTTGATATTAGCCAAGAACGCACTGAATTGCTCATATGACAAACGATTCCTGCACCCATAATATAGTTTGAACTTACTTTCACATGTGAACACCCAAAATAAAGCGCACTAAAATGTTTTCAACCACCTACGAAACCATCATCGAGGGCTCAATACGAAAGAAAACCACATTTGTAGAATCAGAGAGGAATTAAGTCACTACAACCATAGAAAAGACAACAATGGGGATTTAGAGCGAGAAGTACCTAGCCTGACGAAAGAAATCTTTGCCATCTACTCGGGGTGTCCGTGCTGTGACAAGCGATGCAACAGTAAGATTTCCTAACAAACTACAGCCCTATGCTCCATGAAGAAAGCGTATCAGAATGAAAGTAGGAAGACAGTATCTCAGTCGGATACAGTACTACAATTGCAATGCATTTCTTGACGTACTTTCTGAAGTAAATACAAACAGGACAGGAAAATAATTTACAGGGAGCGGATCCATGACTAGGCGGAGAGTTTGGAGCAGTAGTGGACTGGCTTGTGGGCTTTGACGACGGGAGTGAGATTCTATGGGAGTTATCAGTCAAACTCATGCTCCGCCGCGGTGATGCTCTTCCGGATCCACTAGAAGTTAGCTTTGGGCTCAAATGCGGAGTTCCTTGTGCCGAATTATGCGCAGAAGTTTGATAGCTGGTGGGAGGCTTAGATGCTCCTCCTGTAATATCAAAAAAGAAGATATGCACGTCACTCTTTTGAAGGCTTGTCCAGGAAATTCACAACTTAATCCTTAAAATAACTGACCCACAGGCAAAAGCAAAATTCAGACTCTTACAAAACCAACAACAACAGATCATTGTCTAAATCGGCCTAGTCAATACTCAAGACTACATGCCACACAATTAGCAAACCAATACCTAGAGATGGCTGTGATAGTTTAAGAGCGACCTGGAGGAAATTTGCATGTAAATCTAGATTTGAAGCCTCAAATCGATATATAAACACTCAATGACTCACTTTGGTAAGGTTAAAAACTTGAATGATTAATTTCAGAAAACTTATATACCACTAAAAATACAAACTGTTGCTAGATTGGTCACCGGTTTTATTAGTACCTTCTCGGAAACCACGCTCTTCAGTGTTTACGGAGGAACTTGTACTGAAGGATTTTGTTGATTGACCGTCATCATCGAGGGCTCTGCTCAGGGAAGACTCAGCTTCTGTAAACATGCAATTCAGTAATTAGTCTAATCGCAACAGCTACCTTAACTACAATCCTAACAGATAAATTATTTTTAAAGAAGATAACTAACTGAACCAAAGAATGCATCCTATTTTCAAATCCAGTAGAGTCAATTCAGTCTTCTACTATATCAGGGTTAATCATCATCCGTTCTTTGAGAAAAAAAAGAAGGCTAATCTACTAGGGATGTAAATATCATCTCCTGTGCTTGACAAAAAGATTCCCATGAACGTGATAATCTGGTTTTGCTACGTTTCTTTCCTCATTTAGTAACAAGCATTTGTAGACATAACTCTGTTACTTCCAAGAAGATGCAGAAACTCACGAGATGCTCTCCTAATTGCCAGGTTTGAACTTACGCCTCGCTTGTCACCGCCTTCAGCCTGAAGAAATGCAAACCAGAACGGACTTCAGAATGAAATCTCTATTTGGCTCAGACAACTCAAAGATACAGAGGGTCTCCATGCACAGAGAACTTGACAGCCATACATGTTAATGACCGAACCAGGCTCAAATTCTATTCTCAAAAATTGTGTAAATTCTGCAACCAGGTACAACCTTTTGTTATCTGAAGGGAAACTAAGAGATATGCTTCTCAAAGCGCACTTTTTATTCATCGTCTTTCATTATATTCAAAAAAAGTCGATGGTAGAAGAGTAGGCATAATACATACTTTGGGATTGTCGTCATCTTCTTGAAGGGATTGCATGAGTGTGCGTTTGAATGTCTCCAGCTGCAGAGAAAAACGATAGGAGATTAAAGGCTTCAGTCTCTGAATTCCGATAGTGTCGTACAGACCCATACCAGACCTTGAGAACTTCATACTTAGATACTTGAAAGACTAAAGTTGTGCGGCAGTGATCCAGCTATTCAAAGGAATTGCCGCTAATTTAATCCAACAATACAATCAAGAAAATTTTGCATATAACGACATAGAATCTACACCCTCGTAAGGTGTGAGGTGCAGGTGATGAATAAGATTTTTGGTTCCTACTCGGAAAACATGACTTGTTCGTGGACTTGTCAGCTTGAAATTGAGAGTAAGACCAGACATATTATAGTAAAAAAAAGGCGACAAGATGGCATCGAACTTACCTTCGCAACGTCCCTCATCAACTTCTTCACTTGGGCTGCCAACGCATTCTTCTCGTTTGCCAGCTTAGCCTATTAAAATATACACAAACAGTGGTTCACAGTAAGAAAGGTGTTTAAAAGACCAACATCTAGACAGCTGCCCACGAGAAGTCCTAAGGCTACCGGTATTAACAGAATGAATTTAGAACGTCAGAAGCAGGTGATGTCCAATTATACGCTCTAAAATGACACATTCAACAGCCAATGCAATGTAAGATCAGTAACCGAAAAGGTCATCAATAGAAACCCTTAGCAGTTTATACAGTTATGTGCTTAAAAAGCTCTGCCGTTAGTAGATTTTAACAGGCTAGGTTCTACCGGGCAGATATGTCAAGGATGAATGTACTCGAGACCAGTCAAAATCAGTGTCAGAAACCTAAATCTCCACAGTCTTCGAGCGAGTTCCATTTAGGAACATTCAATGCTGAAAAATGATCGAAGCACGAATTCGTCGTTGGTGGAAATGACCATTGCCCATGATGGTTACTTGGCTATTGATTTGGCAAGAGAAAAATTCATTCAAAACCGGCCGAATGTGTACAAGAGCAAAAGGCTAACTGGAAAAATGGATCCTTACGCCTGCAGCAACAAGGAAACATTGTCCTCAATTCGGATTTCTACTTAAGAATCTTCTACAGAAAGGGATTCCCCGCCACATCAGCTTCTTTGCCGCCAGAAACGCGGAATGCAGTCATCAATCCACAGCACCTTGACAAGGAAAAATTCAAGCTCCAGACCTCACCGTCCACCTACGAAAATTCAAACAAAAAAAAGAAAAAAAGAAAAACAAACTCACACGCAGAAACTCCGCATCGCCACGCAAGAACCAAAATGAAGCCATCATCAAATTCCGCGCAAATGCGAAAACGATCGACCAACCTGCTCATCCAAAGCATGAGACAGCCTAGCGCTAGTCTCCTGCAACGTCCCCTCGGCCTCCGAAGCGCGCTCCTGCAAGCCAGAAATGAGGCGCTCCTTTTCCGTCAGCTTCTGGCGCAGTTTCCCGGTCTCACTCTCCAGCTTCGAAACTCTCGCCGCGACCGCCATGGCAGTAATCCGCCGGGCAACATCAAGTTGCTCGTAGGGATCGGAAGGCAAAACAGAAAAAACCTCCTGAGGGAGCTCGAATTCGCCCCCTCCATTGCCCACAACGCCCGCGTAGCTACTCTCGTTCTTGCTCATGCCCTTAAATCAACTCACTTCCTCACAACCAAAACCAAAAATAAATAAAAATAAAAATAAGGGCGATGATGCGAGGTGCTATTACAGACTCTATAAGGAAGGAGATGCTTATAGTAACGATGAGAGCTAAGGCCAAGGCAGTGCCCTAATGCAAAGGCGCTAATGCAATGTTGCGAGAAAAACACACAAAAACACAAAGCAAAGTACAAAAAACAGAACGAGACATAGACAGAGTCAGCCTGGGTGGCTCGGCCCGGCCCGGCCCGGCCCGGTCCGTCCTTTCCACATCACCAAGTGCGTCCTTATGTCTCCTCTTGTTGTTTCTGATGTGGCAGGTGTCATTGGACAGGTGGTGCCATGTGATTGGTGGTAATGTTTTTTTGGAGGGGGGTGTGGGAATATTTCTTTATTTAAATTTAAATTAATATTAAAATAATAAAAGAGCATTGCTTTCTTTCATTATTTGAATAGTAAAATTTCATTGCTTTCTTTCATTACAAGAGATGCGATTTCATTTGATGTCAAAATTTTATGCTTGAGGAATTCTTTTTGTTCACACTAGCTAGCTAAGGAATTAGAATTTTTTCTATTGATTAGTGGATGTTTGTTGGGTTTACTTATTTTTTGTTTTGATTCATTTTGTGAAGTTGATAGGATGTGGTATTCATAACAATATTAGACTTGACTTTCCAAAATATACTTAGTGTGGCATATTATTATTGTGTGCACATTATACATTGAAAAAATTTATTTCCAATGTTAATTCAATATTATTTTAAATATTTCCAAAATCATAAGTTCAATTTATGCTACACTTATATAATGCTTGGAGCTAATATTATTAATATTTAATGAATCATCATGAAGAATCAAGACAAGCTAAATTTTTTTTATTTACATTAAAAAATAAAAAATAAAAAATAACTAACTTGCCATCAATACTATAGCAAATAAGTTTGATAGATGGAGAAGAACAAGGGAGAATAGATATACATATATACATATATATAAAGAGGCTTAAAACACTTTAGGGACAAAATAATGGAATAGGTATCTTAGTGAAAGACATTAGAAAGTTCATTTGGAAGAATAAGGTCATGTACAAAACAAATCTTAAAATATGTTTATACTTTTGACTTAAATGTTGGAAGCACTTGTCAAATAAAAATGATTTGTAATATTTGCATGCTTAATGACTCATGTAAATCATTCTAAACCATGTTTATATGTCTTTTCATTTATATATATGAAACCAACTTCAATGCAAAATATTTGATTTTCTTTTGTCACATATTAAATCAAAATATGAAATAATAATAAGCTTTAGATAAATAAAAAAATTTAAATAATAAATATTTTGAGTTTATTAAATGAATGTTTATTATTTGAACAAAAAATTAGAAAGAAATACTTCAAACTTAAAATAATATGGATAAAAATAAACTACAAAATTATAAGGTTTATTGAAAACTAGTTGTAATTTTTGGATTGCAAGGAACTAATTTTAACACAATGAATGAACACTTGATGATTTTATATTTTTCTTCTAATTCATTAATATTTGATAAAGATTAGTACTTTCAAGTATATATATATATATATACATAAAAGAATGATAAAGCAACCCAAATTTTTACTAAATCAACCTATCCTTACAAAACCATTATTAAACTCCTATACCTTGTCTATATTCCTACCATTCTCATAGCTTGTTTCAATACCTAGCCTTCTATTCTCCCATCAACCCTCTTCAACCTTGTTCAATGAATTTTACTACGGAAACTGGCTTTTATCTTATCAATGTCATGCAACAAAGACTTACTGTTCAATTTGTTGCTGGAAGTTACAATTTTGCGTGTGGTTTATTTGTAATTTTCTTCACATAACTCACAAAAGTTTTAATATTTGTAGATTTTTGTAATTGATTTTGGATTTTTGAAAAATTGATCTTACAATATTATCAATTGTGGAGCTCGCAAACTACAATTTCAAGTGTATAGTGTCAAGATTGTTGCACAAGCAATTGGGGCCAGCTAAATGGTAAGGAATATAATTTTGATATTCTATATCATCATCTTAATTGCACCCACTTTGGTCTTGGCTTCTATAGTATCCAAGGTTTTGACTTGGAAGGACCTCATGCCTCTCTTGGCAAGCAAGGTGATCATTTTAAATGCTATGAAGATCTCCCAAGCCATGGCATGGCCAAAGGAATTCACTATTGTGTTCACCACCAATGACGGCTTAGCATTTGGATTTCTTGGCCTACAATTGAAACAAGTAGCAACCAATTGCTAACGAAGTAAGCTTATTCCATTGCCTTGTATCAAGGACAAGAATATGATAAAGACAAATAAAGAAGTGAGACTTCTCTCATTGAAAGTTGAAAAAATAGAAATAACTTGATATATATATATATATATATAAAGAAAGAAACTGGAATGGCTATTGCCAAAAGCCAAGAAAACTAGAGACCCTTGAAATTAGACTGGAAGCAAGAAAAGAATTGACAAGAGTGAAGAAAGCTTCACTCTTGTCTCTATATATATTATCTAACCAGGGGCTACATGGCAACGTTCTAGAGGACCTCGAATATGTGTTGACTTTGTAGGACACATGCCTTGACTTACAAGGCAAGTTTTTCTATGTGTGGGCCACATAGTTAGTTTGGTCTTCAAGCTAACAACATGTGTGGCACATAGCCAACCTATTGATCACATTTCTAATCTTAAAAAGTTAATTAAAGACACCTATAAAGTCAAAGCAGCGTCTAGGAAGCTTCCATACCAAATACTATAGAATTAACTTACTTTTATCTACTTTTACTTATTTCTACCTATTTAAACATGCAATTATTGACTTACATACATATGTCCATGACATTACCCCTCCTTCTAGGGACGAGTTCTACAAGGAGCGATAATCATATCTTCATGAAATCTATGATGCAAAGAATTGTATTTGCCACATACTCTGATCTTTGTTCTCTTCGAAGATGATTGATAGGGCCTCTCAACCATCAATAGTGTCCCATATCAAGGCGGAAAGACCACCTAGTTATTTGATTATTGTTGAGGCCTTTATAACTTCCTTCGAATAAAACATTTGAAACACCATCAGGAGTTGTTCCTACCTCTAGTAAAATCACCAAACATCGGGAGTCCATTCCAAGGTCATGATACCAAACGCATTGTATCTCGCCATCTATTCGAGGAAGAACATGTCATTCTTGAAGATCTTCATCTCGATTGTGTCGTCTTGAAGATTGTGACAATCGTAATGTCTCATCCAACAAGTCAACAAACGAAGGTTCTTGAGTCAAATCTGTTGGTTGTTGGTTCTCCATTTCTTGAGCGTCATAATTACAAAGAAGCTACAAACAAGGATTGAAAGTAGAATGTTATCTTGCCTAGAACTTGTTTCTTTTATAAGGAAGGTTTTCATCTTGATTTTGATGGATGTCGTCGATGAAAAGCCTCGACCACCTTTGTTGCACTTGCAAGATTCTTTATTGGCTCCTATGTGCATTCACTAATATCATATCCATGCCAATGGATAAGATATTTTAATTTATTTTGGCACCGCGTAGAATCTAAGACTTCTTCTACTTCAAATTCTTCATTATTGTCTACTTCTATAGGAGGAGGTGAAGCTTATCTTCTTTTTGATATGTCCACTATCTTGTATGGTTCAAGAAGAGACACGTAGAATACTGGATTGATTTTCATTGACTCTAGTAGATATAAACGATATGCAACTAGATTGATTTATGCAGAAATAGAAAATGGTCCAAGCCTTCAATAGTCCAATTTGTCTTAAGGATGAGTGGTCTTGATATTGCAACAAAGTAACCATACCTTATCACCCATGTGGAATGGTGGTTGTTCCTTTCGATAGACATTTGCATTGACTTTTTGTTGTTCTTGAGCTTCTTTTAACTATGCCTTCATCGTTGCATGTAACTCTGACAAAAATAATTGCCAAATCTTTTGCAGTAAGATTATCAACTTTTAAAAAGTCAAAAGTATCAAGTCGTGGATGTTAATCATAATTAGCAAAGAAATATATTTATTTTATAGAAGAATATACTATATTATTGTAAGCAAATGCTACCAAAGGCAAAAGAGTTGTCCAATCATCTTGTTGGTAGTTAATGGTACATTTTAAATACTACTCCAAAACTTGATTAACACACTCCGTTTATCCATCAGTTTGAGGATGGAATGTCGAAGATAGTTTTATATCCACTTTTAGAATCTTGAAAAGAGTCCACTAAAATCTTGATACAAATTGAGTTCTCCTATCTGATATAATATCCTTGGATAATCTATTATCAAGAAAGAGCTTAGTTGTTTCTTCACCTATGATAGATTTTATACATGGTATAAAATATGCCATCTTGATAAAACGATCTACTATCACGAATATAGAGTCATAAGAACTTGAGATTGAAAGATCCGTGATGAAATCCATAGAAATAGAAGACTATGGTTGTTCTGGAATAGGTAATGGCTGAAGAAGTCCATAAGGTCGATGACGAGGAGTTTTTTTATCTCGAGCAAACATCATAAGATTGTACAAAATCTTTAACTGCTTTCCACATTTGGGGCCACCAAAAGTCCCTGGATATTAGTTCCAAAGTTTTTTTGTACCCAAAATGTCCTGCTGCTAGAAAGTCATGACGAGCTTGAAGAACACGTAATTGAGCTTCACCTTCTGGAACATATAGGCATCCCTCAAAGTATAATAGATTCTTCTTGAATTCAAACTTGGAAGTATCATGAGACTTTGAAAGATTTTTCTTAATATCATGAATAAGAGGATCAGAAGACATACTTGACTAAATTTGCTTAATGAAAGTTGAATCAACAATTAGTATTGATTTTATTGCTCGAAGATGAAGATGCTTTGGCTTCAAGAGAATTATTCGTTGTTGATCAAAAGTAGCATCTTCTTTCTTTGGTGCGAGATAAGATCGTCTAAAGAGTGCATCTGATAAACCTTATTATTTTCCTAATCGATAAGTAATCTTGAATTCAAATCTTGATAAAGACATATTCCAACGGACTTAGCGACGATTCAAAATACATGCAGACATAAAATATTTAAGGTTCTTGTGATCCGTATACACTGTGACTGGGCTAGAAGAACCTTCTAGATAATCATGCCATTCTTGAAACGAATCTACAATTGCAATAAGTTCT